TTATAGTTATTAGTTAGTAATAAAATAGTTATAAATTATGGTATATTTAAAATTTTCAAAATATTAAATTTTCAGCTATGGTTCTGCTAGGTTGACATAAAGCTAGCAGAGCCGTTGGTTTTTTCTGTTTAATGAAGAGTAATGAATTTGCGAATATGATAATAAATTAGTACTAAATTAGAAACAAATTATAGGACTATTGCAAATCCGAAATATTGAAGTGGTTCTGCTAAGTTTATTGGAGTACATTTTTTTATCATATATGTCATATTTGCACTTTGGATCATTCATGGCTGTAGTTTCCAGTGTTAACGTTCTGTGGTTCACGTCTTTCGCAATTTGATTGGCCCGTCAACTTGGCAATTGTCATTGCAGCCAATAGCTTGCCTTGTTTACGAAAATTGAAAACAGAAAGTTGGAATGCGAATCTGTCTCTTCAATTTTGTGTTCTCAAAATTTATACTGCACTGCTGTAGCTCATTAGCACCCCGTAGCACTTTGTTGTCTTTTCTCCTGGGTTTGTTGACAATTTATATGGTTCTTGATTTTATTTTATTGTTCTTGCATTTGATTATTCCACTCACAATTATTACTTTGCGAAAAACAGTTTTTATCAAAACTACATTTCCAATTCATTGTTGTGAAACGGTAAGACCAATAATAATTAACCTCTTGATTTATTGCTCATGTCCTTATTTTCCTTTCAGGATTAAACATGTTTTTTTTTTGTGAAATGAATGCCTTCTTACTGATGGCATATTTCAGAAGTGGTACTCGTAATCCCGATGAAACGTGGACATATTCACTTCAAAGCTACCGAGAACAATTTCATGATGCTTTTCCAAATGCAAATATTCCATACGCCCAAGTTTTATTTTGAAAGCAGCTATTAATTTCCAGTTATTTATTCACCAACAGTGGTCACGTGGTATTCAATCATTGTTGAAGACCCGGTATTAGTACCACTGAGGTGTGATGAGTGTGCAACTGAGATTTGTATTATGGCCGAAAAGTTACACACACTGCATTATCTCTACTGTGGAATTTGTCTGAAACAGTTCACATCGAAAATGTCGGCAAATGACACTGACTTATTTTTTTATGGCACACATGGAAGGTTAGATTTCATGTTGAAAGAGCAATTTCAGCTAATTTTACATAAATGTCAATCAGAATACATAACTGTATTCAGAAAAAAAATCCGTTTGGAGAAATTAACGCCTGTTAAGAAAACAGTCTGCCGAGAGTTGGTTGTCATGAAGCGTTGCCAAAGGTTTCAAGAACGCTGACCCTGCTAGTCGATCATGTACTCACTCTACGCGTTCAAAAGTAACAAAAAAGGCTCTGCAACGAAATGCCACGTAACAAAATTGGGCCCCAACAAAACTGCGCTTCACGAAAAAGTGCCAATTCATTAGACGGAAGTGTTTTATGTCGATTAACGTGCACCTGAATACTTCCTTTTACCCACAGATAGCTTAGTTTTGTTTGGATAGATAGTTACTCTTCTTCACACTGGAAAAAAGAGGCTATTTAAGTACTTGAGAGGAACTAATTTACTAGAAGAGTAAGGCCCTCGGTGAAACGGAGTCAACATTAACTTAATATATTCGATAATAATAATGCTGTTTTCTTTTTCGAATATCCTCCACACCATTCGGATCGAATTGAAGGAAAGATCATATGACAGTTCAACTGTTACAACGCTATACCGAACTATCATAATACGCGCTATTTTGTAGCATAACCCAGAAAAACACCAACAAACAAGATCAAGTACCCTTCCGTTAGCAAACTCTAACCGAATAGAGCCGAACCATTTCGTTATGTCCGCCTAAATCTAAAAATCCATGTCCCATCTAGTAGATCCCTTCATCTGAGCTATCTAAACAACCTAACTTATTCGTATTGATATTACCGGTATTTCGTAACGAACTGTTTTCATAATACGCGCTATTTTGTAGCAGAACCGGAGAAAAAGACCAACAAGTTTAAGTACCATTCCAAGCACCATCTAGTATATCCGATCATCTGAGCTATCTACCCGAACAAACTAACCTATCCTCATTGTTATTGGCACTATTTCGTAACGAACTGTTTTTATCATACGCGCTATTTCGTAGCAGAACCCGAACAAAAAACCAACAACAAAGATTATACACACTCTAGATAACGATAGTAAAAATTGGCATCGCTCCGTTGGGAAGTAATTGACCGGCGGCTAATGGGCTATGCTAATTCGTACACATATTGATATTGGAGTCGGTGAAGTCCTCAGAGTAACTAGTTGAGAAGAGTGATTAATTTTATCTGTGGAAAAGGCATCACATTCTATGGACCTCTGTGGAACCGTTGCAAAATCGATAATTCGAGAGGATAAAGCATCTTATTCAACTCGGCATAAATAGCTTATGACAAGAAATAGAATTCAACATAATGATACACCCATAACAAAAAATAATTGTCAGAAATTCACTATTGATAATCATGTACTTATTAGTTACTGCAGGGTATAATGAATAATGAAAAATATGAATTATTCAAAGATGAACATAGCGGCACCACAAATGTTTGCAGTAGACGAACAATTATTGTTGTAAGAAATGTTATTTGTTCTTTTTTGTTGCTATTGATGGTTTTCCGGCTGTTGTCTGATAGTTAAAAACCTGCGATATATATTAGATTTTACGTTAACGGGTTAACCTTTAAACTCCTGAACCGATTTTAATCCCTGTTTTCTAACAAAAGGAATTCATTTTCTATGTTGATTATTTCGACAAACGTCAAATGTCAGTGATAAGTTGACCAGGGCTACTGGGAGATTCCGGATGAATAATGGATTCGCAAACCAAATTTTCTCCTTCTTCATTGCAGGAGAAATGAGAAATATAGTCGAAGGAACAATTTTGAAACCAACTCTTATATTAAAAGGCGAATGAAGATCATGATCTCGATCATTAACCGCCCTCATTAATACACTAGTTGGTTGAATAACTATGAATACGAGAGGAGATATCTCCTGACCTCAATTTTCAATTTGAATTCTGACATTGCCTTAAACTACATCTTTATCTCCAATCTCTCTCTCTAATGTTGGCCGCAAAAGCAAGTGTTGCACAAGTCATTAACGGCCATTCTTTCGTTGGAATCTCTACTTTCTGATGGTGTAAATGAATATATACATTACTATGGTGAATGTTCACTGAAAATGCCATACCATAGTAATGTATATTGACTGATTGATTGTCTGTATTACCCCAAGAAACATTATTATTTATAATAGGGATATATACAACAAAACATACATATAACATAATAAATCAAAACAATAATAATTGTACAATTATTGTTGTTCATAAAAAATTATAATAAAATATAAAATGAAAATATTATAATTCATTCCAAGTAATCAAATCGTGAATGATAAGTAGATATGGCATTAGAGTTCAGAGCAGATATTTCTTTGAATTGATTTGAAAATTTTCTACTTCTTCTATATCTTTCAACTCATTAGGTAAGGAGTTATATAAAATTGTTCCACAATGGAATATTGATTGTTCACCAAAATATGACTTATAATATCAATAAATTAAATTGCCTTGTTTCATGGGCGAAAATCCTATGAATGAATAAAACAACAAATTTTGATATTGAAAAAAAAATATTCTCAGATATATTTATGAACTCAAAAAATTGATATAAAGAAATACATTGAGAATTCGCATTCTCCATGTGATGAAAATATTAATTCTTTCTCGGTTTATTCAACAGAAAACAACTACTTTCCTGGCTATATGCCACGACGAACATTGAATTATATCTATTGAACACACACGATAAGAATTTGAAAACAAAATCTTCTAAAGTAGAGAATTTGCATTCTCCTTCATATAAAGATATGCACATAATATCATTCTGAATATTCATCAGAAAACAAGAAAACATTGAATTATATCTGTTGAATATCCAAATTTTGAGTTTATATATTGACACTAGATTCAGCAAGTCTTTAGGTTTGTATAGATTCACAGTTGATTCTAAAAAAGGTTAATTGAAAATGCACTTCATTGTTTTATTTTGTAATATCGTGAGTGGCTTCAAACGTGAAATATGTGTACTTCCCCAAATAGATATAAGATATTGTAAATTTGAATAAATCAGACAGAAATAAATATTTATATAAAATACCAGCAATAGGATTCAATTTTTTCCTCAAATGATCTATATCTAGAGTCCACGATAATTGTTCAACAATATAAAGACCTAAAATTTTGTTACATTTGTAGATGCAATGCATTTATTATTGAAACATATTATTATTCAATATGTCAGATGTACATATACGTAGATTAACTATAATATATATTTCACACGATCAGAAAGTAGAGATTCCAATGAACAAAAAGCCCACCAACCTCTTTGAAAAAGCAGATATTTTGACGCGAGAATTTTCTATTGAAAATTAGGGTGCTATTTCGATACTAAATCGAAATGCGGTGCAAATAGAATTTTTCAAATAAAAAAAAATTACAGTGGATTTGGGACATAGAGAAGTTTTTACCAAATTTCGTGGATTTTTTTGTAAGATAAAAATAAAAAAAAGTAAAACTGAGTTATTTGAATTTTTCACATGCATTTTGAGGTTATGTGAGAAAAGTGTATCCACAAGATTCAAAGATATTTCAATTACCTACAACTTTGCTATTCTACTTGTTTCCATAGGACTTTTAGTTTTGCAAGAAATCGAGACTAACCGTTTTTCACCCATAGAAGCTCACCTCTATCCACTTCCCGACCTCGGATCAACCGTTGTTTAATTTTTTGTTATATTCTCTTCTTTTTTCAATGTGTTTCATTCTACTATAACTGTTTTCGATTCCAATAATTATCGACCTTGGTCTATACGCCCTGGTTACGTCCCAACTGAGCGTTGCCCATTCCTACATTCACGTCGACTATCTAGACCGTGTATAATCTTTACCAACAACAAGTTTAAGTACCGTCCTGCTGGCAGACTCTAACCGAATAGAGCCGATCCATTTCGCTATGACCGCCGCGGCAGCAGCGATATCTCTTCCCCGTCCTCCACCGGACTCGATTTTATCCCGTTGATGTCTCTGGCCGACATGCGATGCGGCGGGCTCGCGTTGCTGTAGTGCGCAGGCGTCCTCGGGCTGGTCGGCAGCGACAGGTTGTCCTTGGACGAGGTGGCCTCCTTGATCTCCTGCGACTTGCGGGACGATTTCCGGCGCGGCGTTTGCCGGCCAGCGCTCACCGAGTCGTCTTCGTCCAGCGAGTGGAGGAGCTGCGGAATGGTGGGGTGTTATGATAATAGACCGGGAGCACACAACGTGTTTTTGTGTCTCATTCGTTCACACTCAGCTGTATAAGGCCCCTAATTATAATCGCTCCTTAAGGACCAGTTTCCAATTTATAGTCGAAATATGAGCTCGAAGGAAGCCTCAAGGAAATACAAATATCAAGGAAGGTAAAAGAGGTACCTTGAGCATTCCTCGAATATTTCTTGATGCAATTGTCAAATCAACCGCTGACATTGAACTATGAAAACTGACCAAGGAACTCTCATGAGAAACGTGCAAATCTAATAAAATGTATATAAATAGTGGATGTGAGGGTTCCGAAGTTAGTCTGGTCTGGGGCTACTCTTGACTTGACGAGTTGTTATTAGGTCTTTATATTCATTGTTGTTTATTCATATTTGTCATCGCTACCCATAATGTTTCATGCTTCAATACATATAGTATCGTACTTTCAGCTACCCCTAAACTATCAGTGCCAATTTGAATATCACCTCTGGCAAACTATCAAGCCAAGCAAACCCCTTATAAATCGATATGGATGGACTAACCATCGATTATATCGTTACACAATTACTAGTATCATTTCAAGTTATGCTATGAATATGTACCTACATAATTAGATATATTATGGATATGAATTTTACGGGATTGGGTAGTGTTTGATCTGGAACGCTTTTTCATCAAATGAAAATTCAAGTCTTGAAATTTGTACAGGTTCGAGTATATCGATTTTCATTAGAAGTTGATAGGCAATTAAGTTCAGTTGAAAAGTAAATCTTCATTCATTTCAAATAAAAGGTTTATAGTACAAATAATGGAAACTCAGCAAATTTATTTCATTGCAGCTTGCAAGAATCAGTTTTTGATAGTGCATTGTGAGTTTCGAACATCGTTACCGCTACTCTTGGAGCTCTTCTTTATTTCGCGGAACCTTGGATATTTTTTGTTTGTTAATCATCCGTGATCGAAGAAATATGTTTTTAGGCCAAATATATCAACCTTTGAAAAGAAAATTATTACTGGATTATTATACTTTCGATGTCCACAGTGAAAATTTGAGTTTTCCTGTCAACAACAACAAATTTGGTCACAGAACACTAATATAAAACACTGTTGTCAAGTGTGAGGGCTCCATTTAGAAGAATTACTCAAGGGGGATCTATAAAACAAGTTTCTCGTCAAGTGTTGTTATTCTGTCAACTCCGAATAAAATTTTTGGACCTGTTTGATGTAAATGGCGAAGAAAACAACTGAATGAACAACGAATGTATTTTTTCTTCGTTAGTTACATCAAGAAGGTCCAATCATTTTGTTGGGGGTTTACATAATGATGTCTTTTATACTATTAATTCTTATTAAACAACATCGCCGAACGTAAACAAATGATATTGTTTACGCAAATTGGATTTTAAGACTATGAAAGTCAATATCCAATTGATTTATTCGGCATATATTTCTTATACTTCCATTGATTGATTGATTGTCTTTATTACCCCAAGAAACATAGTTGTTTATAATAGGGATACATAAACAATATACATAATGTTATACATACAATTATGAAATTATAATAAGATATAACAAGTTGAAAAAAAAAATGCAAATAATCATGCAATATCAACCTAGTCTTTTATAAATAGGTATATCAAATAAGAAATGGGATTATCAAAGTCTCTGAAGCAGATATTTTTTTAAGTTAATTTTGAATTTAGTTGCTTCCTGTATTTGAAAAATATTATAAAATCAATCTACACCCTGAAGACGTTCAGCGATCATATTAGTTTGAGTTTTTGTGGATAATTAGTTGATTTAACGAAATGCCGAACATAAAAAAATGATGAATTTCAATAGAAAAATTGTTGACAACAATACACAGCACCACTGCAAATCGTATCTCCCAATGTAGTGATACATTATAATATTATGATAACTATTATAATCACACTGTAATGTTAGGATATTTTGACAACGATGAGTTGAAGGTTCTTGAAAGATATAATTGGATTGTCATTCTAAAAGATGATCAATAAAAGTAATAAAACTATTACAATTACCCTACACGTTCGGCAACGCCGTCTACTCAAACTTTCTTTCAATTACAGTACCTTGCGACATACGCCGAACGGTAAGTAATGATTCGATACAAGCTCATATTCGTGTAGTGGAAGCTGGAATTTGAGGGGTTTTTATACTGCCGAGTGTGAACAAATGAGACACACAGTACATAATGTGGGCTCCCGGTCTATAAGGCTCGAAAGGGGCCGTAGAGGGAAAGTTGTGTGGCAGTTTTGAATTATTTCTTTCTGAATGTTTTTTGGGGCGCGGAATCCGAATCTGAGGGTTGCTTACCAAATTCCATGACGTGACATTTGAAAAAATCCAAAAATAAATGAAAAATATGTTTTGTTGAAAACCCATTTTTTCCACTCCATAACTCTAATAAACTGAGAGAGAATTGATATTTTCATCACATAGAGAATGCGAATTCTCAATGTATTTCTTTATATATATATATATATATCTGAGAATATTATTATTCCTTTTCCATACTTTCACTTAATCAAGGAGTTCAAACTTGAAAGATGAAAACTTTTTATTTTTATAGCGAAACCAATAAGAGATTGCTATATTCCAGTCATTTCCCGAAATAATCACCCCAATTGTATAGCATTTCATACTTTATCATTATCCCCACGGGTACTCCCCTGTGTCCGAATCCTCGTTTCGAAATTATTTAGTTGTTTCTAGTTTTTGTTGAATACCGAAAGAAGCGAGCTCCCGTTTTTATATTAAAGTAAAAATTTCGAACGTTGTGGCTCTTGGGAGTGTTCAGTGCGTAAAATATATCCAAGCTGACATCGTCAACCAAAAAGTTTTCCCAAATTTCGAAAGTGTTTGCCATTGACTGCACAGAATCTTTGTGTTCTCATCTGTCCTGAAATATACTTATTTCAGCAACAGTGTGCCTGATCTGTCAGGTGAGTTACGTCATTAAAATATATTGCTTATAGTTTACTGAACTCGATTATCTTTGCTACTTATTTTTCAATTGTATTCGGATCATATCGTGGAAAAAAATGTATTTGGTTTTCTCTGTCAGTTTTTAGACGCATGCTACGATTGGGTGGAATTGAAACATGGTCTGTCCGACTTAGCGAGTTTTTCTTACCCAGAAACCACATATACAGTGTGGACCCATATAAAGTACCCCCTGAGATTAAGAGATTTTCGCCGCACCTTTAATCGTAGATTCGTGATTTGGTTTTTTTCAATTCAAAATTTCTTTCCACGCCCTGTATGATGAATATCAATTTGTCATACATCCAAAAACAACTCTTATCTAATTTATTATTGAAGGTTATCAGAATTCTGAATCTTGAACTACCCTGTATTTGTTCTAATTGAGAGTTGAGATAGGGACATGAAAGCCGTTTTGACCGAAAATAAATAGTTTCGACACAGAAAAATCCTAAATTTGAAAAATCAAGATTTTGAACAGCCTATATCTCTGGAATCATTCTCGCTAGATAGATCTATAAAGCTCTTCAGGGAGAATCTAAAAATGTAATGAAATACAGGGTGTTCTATTCGAACTAACAAAGTTGCTACTACATTCTAATAGAAGTGGTAACACCGCATTGTCGAAAATATTTTTGACGAATATAACATGCTCGATTATCCATGACCACAAATTTTTGAAGTGTTCTGTCGTTAGGTTCTCCAGATACGTCTAATATGTTCCATCCACCGTGAAGCACCTTGTATGTGATATCATATAATAATATGAAACATTTGTTCAAGACTCTTCATCGGAATCAATTTTTTTGTACACTTTCAGACCTTATTAAACAGCGTGAACATTATGTAATTTGTGAAAAAACGTGTTTGAAGTTGTTTTTCTTATAAACAATTCATATAATAGTTGGGGACTACGAGTAATTCACTAATTGGCAGCGTTAACATTAATCTATGGTTTTGGAGTGGAGAAAGTGTGTTTCGCAGAAAAGTTGAAAGGTTTCGTTATAAGCAAAAAACCACCAAAGAATGATATTTTCATATTTTTTTTCGGATTTTTCGATGCTGCGCCGCCAAATTTTGTTAGCAAACCTCAGATTCGGATTCAATACCTCGATTTAAGTGTGGAATGAAAGAAATCGAAACTACTCCATAACTTTCCTAGTTAAAATACAGTTTATCTGGATTATAAAGAGGGTTTGCAACAACATGCATACGCACCACCGCTTGTGGAAAGTCTCTTACTTTGTTTCTGAGATACAGGATGTTTTCTATATAGTTTTTTTTATGTTCTGGTTCTAACGAAAAGGGATATCATGTAATGTTCAGAGAACATCGTGAGAACCAAGGGAAATAAGGTAGGAATTGGTGTTCTTCTTAAATTTCTGGAGGTTATATGCCTCGGGAAACACCTCCCTTGGCAATGTGTTCCAGAGCCTCGCTGTTCGTTGAAAGAATGAGTCTTTGGAAAGAGATGTTCTGCAGGTCTCCAAAGTGACCACGAAGGGGTGCTTAGCCTCAACTCGACGGGTTAATCTCGCGGAGACTGCCAGGGGAGGAACAATTGTTGATATTCCAGAAGAGCACCGTCCATGATAATATCTATAAAATAGAGCTAGATCGTCAACTTTTTTTACGGTGTTCCAGAGAAGTGAGTGAGTTTGTGAGCGAGGCATCATTCACGAGACGAATTGCCCTTTTTTGGACAGAATCCAACAGTTTCAGAGTATGTTTGGGTACTGCACTCCAAATATGGGAACAGTATTCCAGGACAGGTCGGATCTGTGCCTTATAGATCATAAGCAGCTGACTGGAAGTGAAATAGGTGCTGGCCCGAAACAGAAAACCAAGTTTTTGGGATGCACTTTTAGCAATTGATACCACGTGATTTTCCCAAGAAAGGTTATTGCTGATAGTAATACCAAGCATCGAAATGGATGTTTTCAAAGGTACGGTTACTCCTGAAAAG